GATTTTCACTGCTTTGTACTTTTGTCTATGCAAAAATAGTTCAAAAATTGGAAAATAGTTAAAATTCCACGCACCAGCGTATGAAAGGTGAATTCGAAACCTTGAAGGGTGAATATCTTTCCGTGATTCCCGAGTTAATAGTTTAACGGCCAAAATTCTCACGAAGCCGTAGGTGATACTCAATAACGAGGGGACACTGAATTTGAATGGGCAAGGTTGAGCGTGGGCAGGGGGTCATAACCCTAAAATTTCAGTCTCCCAAACTCCATGGTTCCTGAGATATTAATTTACTCGTAAAAAACTTTCACGGGGTCGTACGTGTTACCCGCGGGTAAGGGAAGGCTGAATTTAAATTTGCCGCATCACCTGTCGGCGGGGAACACTATAGCAAAATTTCAGCCGCCTAGCTTTTGTGGTTCCCGAATTGAAAATGCGGGATAAAATGTGGGACAAACACACATACACACAAACACACATGCACACGGACAACCCTGTGACAATATGCGTTTTGTAACGCTGTTACACAGCACAAAACGCATAAAAACTGAGTTTCTCCAAGTAAGAAATGGAGCTTGTTCCACCTCTGATTTTGTTCTATGATTATTTTCATATGTCAAAAAGTTTTTACCACATTATCTTAACAACTATCTTCCCCACCTACCATTCACTAAATTTCTACCTTTCCGCCTTAAATCACAAGGAATTTAGCCATGCTGGATCCCTTTCGGTTAACTTAGCCCACTATTTCACAAGGTAAGCTTTAGCCTACTTACAGCCGTAAAGTACCACTTTACAGCCCCAACTTTCTCGTTAACTCTGCTCGGTACGACCAATTTTGGCTGGGCTTCTACTGCTCCTCTTTTTTACTCTATTACTTTTGTTCTTACCTCACTGATTTCTAATTCCATGTTCGGGCAGGTGGACATGAAAATAACTTTTACGCTTTTTTTATATCCCACTTATGGACACGTGAAATTTGATGTAACTCCGCAGCCAGAGCATCTGGTATCTCACCGATCACAAGCTCCTTGCCTTCGGCTATTGGCAGTTTTTTTTTTACTTTGATAAAAATGCACCGGTAATGACTAAACTTAAAAGACTTTAAAATAATGTTATTTGTTTCGCATAAAAATGCATTTCACCGAATATTATTTTGTATCTCAATGAGTGGTACTTTTGCTTCAGTGTTTAAATGAGTGGTACTCATATATCAACAATGGTATTCGCAAAATAAAAACCAACGAAATGGGATGTATTTGCTAAAACCCGTAAAAAAATCAACCTTGCCAAAATTCTCGCTGTCCCATGAAAGTACCGGTACTGACTTGAGGCAATACAGACACTGGTGCAGACCCGATATGATGCAACTGGGATGGACCCGCCTGATTATCTTCGTTGCTTCTTGCTGTCCCAGAAGAAATTACGCTTTCCACCTACAAAATATAAGCTAACAATAATTGCTGATCCAAAAAACAGCAAAAATTACTCGATATCTGACGATCCAAAAACAATGATTGGCCAACGCACGGGTTGCCCGTGCGGAGCTGCGTTTTTCGCGTAGTTCCCCGCAGTTTTTGTCGCTACCGGTATCTGTTTTTTCGGCAAATGCCTCTAGCTAAACAAATTACTGGCCACCAGAACTGGCAGGAAACACTCCCTTAAAATTTCAGCTTTCTAGCTCTTCTGATTCTCGAGTTATCAACTTGCCCGAAAAAAACTTTGGCGGGTCCGTATGTGGGTACCACGCATAGTCTGGGTTAAAGAACACTAATACCTACTTGGACGGGAAACATTCCCTTAAGATTTCAGCCTTCTAGCTTTTCAGATCCCTGAGTTATCAACGTACGCGAAAAACTTTCACGGGCATGTACTTGGTACCAGCATACCCAGGAACTGGAATTGAACTCGTTAATACCTACTTGGATGGGAAACATCCCTTTGAAATTTCAGCCCTCAGGCATTTCTGGTTCCCGAGTTAGCAGCTTACCCATAAAAAACTTTGGCGGGCTCTTACGTGGATACCACGCGGGGAAGACCGCCCAGTTTCGGGGATGAGGACCCGTACGTGCATGTAGATTAAGTTCCCGAAGTTTCAGCTCTGTAGCTTTCATAGGTCTCGAGATGAAAAATCGGTACAGAGGTCTTGCGCACACACAGACAACCTCTCGTCAATATGCGTTTCCGCATTGCATAACTACAAAAAATGCATAAAAAAACCGCATTCCCAAAGAGAAGTACACTTACTTTTTCTATGCCAAGACGATGAGCTATCTGGAGGCGCAGCGTGTTCGGATCCACCGCTTTTCGAAGGCTTTCAAAATCCGGTATTTCGCTCTCATCACCACCGCCGAACTGCCTCTGCTGCATTTGGCGCACAAGACGCTGCTGCTTCACTGGTATCGAAGGTACAAAATTCATAATTTTATGCTTACACAGTTCGCTAGCCAATGCATCCAAATAAGCGGCACGATTGTAACGCAAATTATATGCCATCAACTGCAAAAAAAAAAAAGAAATATTTTATACAAATAATGCATGAACTGAGGTATATATACATGCATGAATGTACACACAAAGGACCACATTTTCGCTCTAAACCAGGTGAAAAAGCGATGGAGAGGATGGTATCACCACTCCCTCTGTCTCCTATTTGTAGATTACGAAAAAGTATTCGACAGTGTCGAGCTGAATGCTGTGCCATGAATGTTTACGGATGAAGGGTATGACGGAAATTAAGTGGAAATTGTTAAGGAAGCAAATACACGATGTGCGAATAAAAACATGCTTCTTTTACAGATCAGTCGCATAGCGACTGAGAAAGATGTGATAAAAAACGATGCTCACAACGCTCCAATTTTTACGGATAGCTTAGAGGATAGTATTTTGCAAGCTGGATTGAAAAAGAAAGAAAAAAAGACACTAATTTAGTAAAAAAGATAAATATAGAACTTACGAAAGCATCTAAATTTGAGTGGCCACCAAAATGAACGGGTCTTCGCCAATTCACGGCACAGAATATATCACTTGGGATCATCTCAGGGCGAAATTCCGTTGGAGACCCTTTTCTGAAAATATTTTTATTCTTTGAAAACAAAAATTCTTTCTACTTTTTTGTCTTGTTTTGTTAAAAATGACCAAAAGCATTTTAAAATTATAACATTAACATTTTGAAAGAAGCACTTCTGAATTCATCTATTGACGCTTTCGCAGAATCAAAAAATTCTACGATTTGAGCACCTTTTTTGACCGATATTTGCGACTTGGAATAAAATTTTCAGTTCCTTGGCTAAGACTGTGCTGCTCTTAACTAACTTCTGTCCCCTCCCTCGCCCCGGTTCCTCCCCCCTCCTCCCTCCGCTATCCAACCTAGCCAGGTTTCATGCCGCTGATAGTTTAAGCAAAGCTGACAGCAAACAAGTTCCATTGTAGGATATGAGCTGGACAAGAACAGAGTAGACTGGATACATAGAGGATGAAGTCAGCCCTTGCTTCTGTGAGATTCTGAAGACAAAAAAACAGAGGGGTAACTGTTGTGCACAGTTGCAGGCTGCTGAAGGCAACACAATGGAATTGCGTGCAGTCTTGAATCCAGTTGAACTTATTTGCCCTCAGCTTCGCTTAAGCATCAGCTCCATAAAAACAGAAACCCCTTACTGAAGACGGGTTTTTGTACGGCAATTCCCACTTGCATAAGCTCAGTACTCCTTTTGAACCAACTTTTTACATTTTAACTCTTCTCATATAATAATCATCCGTTCACAGCAAAGAAATAAGCCCTTTTCTAGCACTGGTCAA